ATGCATCGAAGATAACAGATATGCCTATTATTAAATCAGACACTCTATAAAAATTAGGTGCTGGAAAGCAAACGATTTTGCCATGAGCCTAATGGATAGGATACAATGTATAGAGCTAATTAGTATTAGCATCCTGCCATGCTAAACTAAACACAAAATATAGAGTCAGGGCACTTACAGGACACAGACTTGAAATCTGTAGCCTTCTCATTCAGTAAAGATGATGGTAGGAGTATAATTTTAGGTATGTTGTTATCTGTACGTTAGCATCCAGTATAGCTGCATAGATAGCAAAGCTTATCGCTATGAGCCACATTGGTGGGGCTTTTTTTTAAACAAAAAGCTGTATTGAATCAATACAAAGTACATTCACAGTGACAAAGTAATGTAAAGGGTTTTCATTGGTTATAGTTAAGTATTTTTTTCTATATAGTTTAGTGAATGTTGCCAATAAGAAACAGAAACAGGAGTGAAGGTTTTGTTCCCTTACAAGGGTTTAAGTACAACGGTATTAGAAGAACCAATTAAAGACTCATTTTAGCTCATTTGGTCCAAAATGTGCATAAAACTTAAAGTAACGAGTACGGCATGTTAAATATTGATGCACTGTGATGTTCGTTTTTTCAATATGGAATGTAAGAAAACATAAATGTACAGCAATGAAAGGTCAGGGAGGTGGTGTTGGTGGGGGTTCTATACATGCTGTTTTTGTTTTTGTTGTTGTTGTTGTTGTTGTTTTTTTTATCCTGGTGACAACTGAAATTAAAGCTTTTCAAGAAGGCTTTAAAGTGGCATGACATGTTTCAATATGAGGGAAGTCTTTTAAGATCCGTGAACACAGTTTTGATAAATTAACATCATCATTGTAAATTCCCAAAACTGTGCTTCTAAGATAAACAAAAATTCCCATTATGTCAGAATGTAGCCCATGGCTGATTTATTTATTTATTTATTTGATTGAAACTAACTTTTTTAATGATTTTAAGGTTGTTTTCTCTGGTTTTTTTGTTTTTTGTTTTTTTACATTTATTTGATTAAAGTGGAGCCCATTTTGCAACACGGCATTTGGTTCATGTGGGGGAACAACTTTGGAGCAGCATCCACCTTTCAGGAAACAAACCCACCTCCGTCCAGATGTGTCTCTCAAAGATTCAGTTGCCTTTGCTGTCTGAGGATCAGCAAGATGCCTGCCATCATTTTCCTCAGAGAACACAGCACCTGTTGATGATGTGACTTTAAAAAAAAAAAAAAAAGCCTCATCTGGTACCAAAGATGGCTAAGAACAGAATTTATTTTAAACACCTTGTCATCCTGTTGCTATACCAACCACCAGATTAGATTTTATACTGGGAACCATCCACTGTGATCCTTAACCAGAGGTCTAAGGAAGAGAAGCAGGTGTGTGAATGTGCATACCGTGTGTGCAGAGATGTGAAAAATAAAGGGAGGCTGTTGTTTTAGTTGTTTTCTGATTAAATAGAGGGGGACAAAGAGGTTTGAGTGTGCGGCGAGGAGGAGACAGACGGATTACATTATGTTAGCCAGCAGGAGTCTGTGGTCAGACACTGTGTTGTATGAGCCAGCAGGAAAATGCCTGCTGAGTGTTTCTGCAGGGCTGTACTAGATTTTCTCCATAGATACACCTACTGAATTCTATTTTCTTCTTCACGTGTGTTGTCTGTAATAAAAATGTCTTCCATATGGAATCGGATTGCTTGCTTTTAGGTTTATTTTTAATGCACGGTATACCTGTGGCTGCAGGGTTCTTCCAAAGAAATATGAATGGGTTTCACAGGTTCTACCCATTTTTTGCAGAAGTAAAGGGTGGTAGGGGTGCTGTCTGGTTTTCTATCTTAATTTCACATCTTCTCAGAAGACTATTTTAGTCAGTCAGGTAATCTCCTGAGCTCACATTGGATGTTAGCCCTAAAAACCTGGTGGTTGGTGACCGCACAGTGACAGCAGAGCTGTTGAGGTGAAAAGATGGGGACATGACTCACGATTACTAATGCTTCTTCACTTCACTTGTAATAAATTAAGACACGGGAGGCCTTTTTTTATTGGCAGTGAGCACGATAGGCTGCAAGTGAGAAGGGTGGGAGAAAAGCAAATAAATAATAGATTTTTTTTAGTCTTAAATCTGGGTGTGGAAGCCAATTACAGTGAGCCTCAGGATTAATTGAAAATAACCGGTCGGGCTTAATGTAAGGAAGAAAAAAAAAAGCGCTTTAGCCCATGAAAAATGAGCATGAGCAACAAAATATATGCAGGGGCTCATTAGAATTTTCAGCACTTCAATTCCAATTATTAGCACAATTCATCTTCCAGAAAGTGAGAAATCAGGAGGGGATTGCACAAAGAAAAGATTATTCTTTCACTCTGAACAAGAGCGCAAATGAGAGACAGTCAAGAAGAGAGAAAAAATAACCTCTAATTGCTTTTATCCTCCGGATCCATTTTGTACATTTGTGAGAGCAGGCGAGCAGTGTGCTGTTTGACTCGTGGTGCCTCTCACCGAGTCTACAGAGTGAAGATGAAGCCTTCACTGCCACACCTTATTGAATCTCCACTAAACAGACGCCGTCAGCCGCAAGATACGATCTCTGACAGCACGTATAGCAGAGGGCAACGGTGGATACAATGTCCTCGCTTCCTGAAGTGAAGCTGCATTTGTGCGATTTAATTTACAGGGTTTCAGTGACATGCTTACACAGATTTCACTGTATTTAGAGTATCTAGCATTAGCACTGGAAAATCAAGTCAAAGATTATTTCTAGATCACGTTTGAAGCAATATCACCTCAGCAAAGTGCTGCACAGGATATATCTGAAATTAACAATAAATGTGCACTAAAACGTAAACATAAACCTTGATTTAACAAAATCAAATGAAATAATGGTAGAAGTAAATGAGCTCTGTTTCCACAATAGAAGCCAGGATATCCTGCTCCATCAACACTGAAAGCTGGCAAGCATGAGTTGTTGTTGTTATTTTTTTAAACAGGGATTTAAAATGATTGAGTGACTGCGAAGCTCTCACGTGAAAGGGTGAGGTTGTTCCAAATTTTAGGGGACGCCACCAAAAAGGCTCTGTCGCCTCGGCTTTTGTGCAATATCTCTAAAATGAGAAACATCCCATCTCAGTGTAAAGCTGAAAAACTAGTTCATGCATTTATTACTTCTAGACTCAACTATTATAATTCATTATTATTGGGTTGTCCTAAAAGCCTCTATCTGATCCAGCCAGAGTACTGACAGGGACTAGAAAGAGAGAGCCTTTCTGTCCCATATTGGCTTCCCTTCATCGGCTCCCTGTTAAATGTAGACTCAAATTTAAAATCCTCCTCCTGACATACAGTGGGGCAAAAAAGTATTTAGTCAGCCACCGATTGTGCAAGTTCCCCCACTTAAAATGATGACAGAGGTCAGTAATTTGCACCAGAGGTACACTTCAACTGTGAGAGACAGAATGTGAAAAAAAAATCCATGAATCCACATGGTAGGATTTGTAAAGAATTTATTCGTAAATCAGGGTGGAAAATAAGTATTTGGTCACCTCAAACAAGGAAAATCTCTGGCTCTCACAGACCTGTAACGTCTTCTGTAAGAAGCTTTTCTGTCCCCCACTCGTTACCTGTATGAATGGCACCTGTTTGAACTCATCATCTGTATAAAAGACACCTGTCCACAGCCTCAAACAGTCAGACTCCAAACTCCGCCATGGCCAAGACCAAAGAGCTTTCGAAGGACACCAGGAAAAGTATTGTAGACCTGCACCAGACTGGGAAGAGTGAATCTACAATAGGCAAGCAGCTTGGTGTGAAAAAATCAACTGTGGGAGCAATCATCAGAAAATGGAAGACATACAAGACCACTGATAATCTCCCTCGATCTGGGGCTCCACGCAAGATCTCATCCCGTGGGGTCAAAATGATCATGAGAACGGTGAGCAAAGATCCCAGAACCACACGGGGGGACCTGGTGAATGACCTGCAGAGAGCTGGGACCAAAGTAACAAAGGTCACCATCAGTAACACACTACAACGGCAGGGAATCAAATCCCGCAGTGCCAGACGTGTTCCGCTGCTGAAGCCAGTGCATGTCCAGGCCCGTCTGAAGTTTGCCAGAGAGCACATGGATGATACAGCAGAGGATTGGGAGAATGTCATGTGGTCAGATGAAACCAAAGTAGAACTTTTTGGTATAAACTCAACTCGTCGTGTTTGGAGGAAGAAGAATACTGAGTTGCATCCCAAGAACACCATACCTACTGTGAAGCATGGGGGTGGAAACATCATGCTATGGGGCTGTTTTTCTGCCAAGGGGACAGGACGACTGATCCGTGTTAAGGACAGAATGAATGGGGCCATGTATCGTGAGATTTTGAGCCAAAACCTCCTTCCATCAGTGAGAACTTTGAAGATGAAACGAGGCTGGGTCTTCCAACATGACAATGATCCAAAACACACCGCCCGGGCAACAAAGGAGTGGCTCCGTAAGAAGCATTTGAAAGTCCTGGAGTGGCCTAGCCAGTCTCCAGACCTCAACCCCATAGAAAATCTGTGGCGGGAGTTGAAAGTCCGTGTTGCTCGGCGACAGCCCCAAAACATCACTGCTCTCGAGAAGATCTGCATGGAGGAATGGGCCAAAATACCAGCTACTGTGTGTGCAAACCTGGTAAAGACCTATAGTAAACGTTTGACCTCTGTTATTGCCAACAAAGGTTATGTTACAAAGTATTGAGTTGTATTTTTGTTATTGACCAAATACTTATTTTCCACCCTGATTTACGAATAAATTCTTTACAAATCCTACCATGTGGATTCATGGATTTTTTTTTCACATTCTGTCTCTCACAGTTGAAGTGTACCTCTGGTGCAAATTACTGACCTCTGTCATCATTTTAAGTGGGGGAACTTGCACAATCGGTGGCTGACTAAATACTTTTTTGCCCCACTGTACAAGGTCTTGAATAATCAGGCCCCATCTTATCTTGAAGACCTCACTGCACTGTATCACCCCAATAGAGCACGTTGCTCTCAGACTGCGGGCTTACTTGTGGGTCCTTTAAAAGTAGAATGGGAGGCAGAGGCTTCAGCTTTCAGGCCCCTCTTCTGTGGAACCAGCTCCCAGTTTGGCTTCAAGAGACAGACATCCTCTGTATTTTTAAGATGAGCCTTCGAACTTGGCTTTTTTGACAAAGCATATACTTAGGGGTGGACAGGCGACCCTAAATCCTTCTTTAGTCACGCTGTAATAGGCCGAGGCTGCCTGGGGGGTCCCATTATGCACTGTTTCTTCTTCACTCACCTTTTTTGCTGAGTATGTGTTTATACAACACTCTGCGGTTATTATTAATCTCTGTCTCTCCTGAAAGTGTATCTTTTGTCCCGTCTTCCTCCCCTCTGATAGGCTGATAGGCGCCCCTCCCTGAGCCTGGTTCTGACAAAGGTTACTTCCTGTTAAATGAAATGGACTACAAGCCGGTGTAGAGAGGTGAGTACAGGTGTGATGTGAACATGCGATTTCTTTCCTGTCAAAAGTTGCATTTTGTACAACCTGCAGGAGACAAAGTAACAACTGATCCAGGCCAAACATTCAGTCATGTGGAGGGAAGCAGGCCTTTACTTTACTGAGGAGCTCGTCGAGATGAGATGATCAAGAGCTAATCTGTTTAAAAGTGACAAAATAAAGTGTACTTCAGAATGGGATGCTATTTCTCCAAATCTTAAATCAATATGTCTTCTCATTGATCTGTTCAGAGACTTACTGGTCACTTTAATTGCTTTTCTTTTCAATCATTACAATTGCCAACTTTACACAAGTTACACAAATAAAGTGGGTATCTCTAAAAGTTGCAGCACAGTTTACTTTCTAGTGACACACACACACAAAAAAGATGTTTTTCAACTGATCAGGGCCAAACATTGTGCAGCCCCCCTCATGCTGTCAAAAGACTTCTGACTCACTGAGGCAGGAATAATAGACCTCTGGCAATTTTTTGTGGCACCGGTGTCTGGCACTAACACGCTGGCAGCCTATCCATTCAGTTCTGAGGCTTGTAGTCTCAAGAGATCCATCTGGCTTTGGTGCAGTCTGTAGCCCCTCGATGAGATTGTGTTCTGGGGAGTTCGTATATCGGGTGCACACCTTTGGCTCATTGCTGTCTTTCTCAAACCTTTGCTGAGCAATCTTTATGGCGTGGCAGGGCTTGGGGAAGTGGCTACGAATGGGTTGGTGAATGATAATCAGAAGATGTATCTTGACATTTACATTTCGAGGTCTCAGTGAATTCCCTTAATCTTAGTCTTGAGAGCTTAAAAATAGAAAGCAGCTGAACTTTGGAATTGCCAACTTAGAGAAGACTAGTTTTTTCAAGCTCTAAACACATGGACTGCTATACATGCCAATTCAATTGTTATTGTATGCTACATTACATTACAGATGTTATATTCTATCTCATAACACAATTTTTAACGTCATTCATGTCAAGCTGCAGAGCTTGTAAACTGATGTGATATACTTGGGGTGTTGCTTTCTATTGCTTTGAAAGAACTGATATGTGGCACTCAACAATGAGCATTGATTCATATGTTTAGTTGCAGGGGCACATGCACGACTGTCTGAATTGTATCACAGAAGCCGTATCTACTTGTTACTGTAGGATGAAGATGTAGGTAAGTGTGCTTATTGTTTTTCTTGTCTGACTGTAACATGAATTAGGGTGAAATTTGTTCTGGACGTTGTTCACGCACTCTTAATTAGAACATTAAAGAAAATATAATGTTCCACATGCACAGTAATTATCACATTTTGGGGCCAAGCCATAACATTAAGTGTTTTTTTGATAAGATTTGACTTGTTGGTGATTCTTTACATGTAATTCCAGTGACCATCAAAGATGAAGCGATTATTCACTCATATTTAGGTAGGAGCTTCAAAATAGCCGCACAAATAACTACCCTGAGGCATTTTCCATCATGGCCGTCTGGCGGCAAGACTTTCTTCTGGAAGAGGGATCTCAACAGGGGGCCCGGGGGACTCCTACTTGCAGCCCGTATATTGACGTGAAGAAATATAATACAATACGAACAAAATTATAGCAGAAGAGCTGCCACGTGTCACATGGTGAATCGCTGTTCAAACTCAGTGAACTTTATTTAAAACCTTGTGATGTCTGGTGGGTAGTGTGCATGAAATGGTGTGCACTACTGCAGACGCTGTATATGGGGCGGAGATTCAAAGCTCAAGAAGTGATTGAATTTGTGAGTTGTTTTTTTTTATTTTGGCAGTCACATTCAATTCTTTGTAGCTTCACTCTCATCCTCGTACTCTTCCTTGTGACGGCTCTCTGATAATGACTTCTCCTATTTGCTGGGATCACAGGAAAGCAAATTTGTGTCTGTGCATGTGTCTGCTTTTGAAGTGTTCTCGCTATAATCTAAAGTATAGGCTTCTGAGCGGTAGAGGTTCTCTGAGCTGCAAGGATTTCACGTGAAAGCAGTGATTTGTAATTTGCTGGTTTGGCAGCTACTAAGCTTGTGCCTCGGGGCGAGCGCTGAATGCAACAAGGGAAGGAACAGACTCTGCTCATTGCCTTTTTATTAAATCTCCTGAAGTCCTTCACCAGCCAAGAGCAAATATCCACTGAGATCCCGTTTAAACAGTGTGAGCTCCTACATAAATTCAGCTGTTGATTAAATCATTAACGACTGTCCACTCATTCATAAGAACATTTTGGTCTGTCAGTCTGAGTGTGTTCACCGAGACTCTGGCGACAATATTATGTGATATCAACATTATTGCCAATACCTTTAAGCTTTTTAACCCTCTTAGGTCGAGTGCCTCAGTTACACTCCATTGCAGATGTGGACACGGAAGGCTGGAGACCTGCCGAGTAATACCTTCAGTTATACATTTTTAGTGTGCCACCTGTTCTGCATATTTGGCTGGCAATGTGTCTTTCCTGCAAGTCCAAGTCCATGTGGTTACAAAAACAAATAAACAACAAACAAACAAAAGTCTATCAGAAAATGCCATTTTTGTGTTTATTAAATTGTTCTTGGAAATCAGGGAACAAAGAAACATTTAATCTAAGAGTAAACTTTCATTTTTCCCCAAAGTATTAGCACGGGGTTGGTTTTGGGTTATCGCCTGTTAAGGCTCAGCTCACAGATTTACAAGGTGTGACACTGACACAGAGACTGAGACACAGATCCGGTACAAACTATAAAATCAGTATTTCTATATCCAAGCGCAAGATGTCAAAAAAGATTGACACACTCAGTAAAACTGGCACAAATTACAACAGTATAAATGTATTTCTTTGGCATTTTTGTGGTTATTTCCGATTATATGTGGAAAATACTTTCTTGCCAAGAGGCAAAGAGAGACAGAGGCTGCATGTGCACATCTCTCTTTTTTTGTTCTCATCCACCAAGAACGCTGTGGCAGGAACATCATTCTGATTCTGACAGATCTGCCAACTCACTTGTGTTTGACATAATATCACCTGTCAAAGTTCCCACTGGGAAACGTCCCAGTGCTCCCAATACGCTGTGCCTCTCTTGTTGTGTGAATTTACTTGAATTTTCTTTTGAAACCTCTGACAGGTGGAGTGAATGATCATCTTGCTACGATGTCATATTCTTCTTGAAAACTGTAGGCCCTGCTGTTCAGGTAGGGCAACCAGGTGTCAAGATTTACTTGTAACTGCACAGCATTTTTATCCTTTCTTCCTCACGTCCCACATATTGAGGCACTGTCCTGCATTTCTGATTGTTTCTCACGTTTACTGAAGCCAACACACACACATGGATCAAAAAGAGATGCAGATCTGTTGGTTTTTGTCTTTTGCCCTTCTCCCCCGTCCCTCTTCTCAGCTGTTTCTCTTTCCCTCTTTCTTTCTCCCCTTCTTTCCCCCAGTCAAGTCTGTCCCGTATTCAGTAAGTGAAAATAAAATAAACAATAAAAGGTGAATCAAATGGACCATTACGGCAAGGCTGGGATGGTCAATTTGGTAAAGTAAATCCGTTGGGCATCTTTCTTTGCCTTTAGACAACAATTCTGATGGCAAAAGAGCCAAACGGGACAGGCCAAAAAAAAAAAAAAAAAAAAGAGATGCAGATCTATGGATGAATCATTTCTAAAACCCAAAGCTGGGCGGAAATAACAGAAATAAGATGAAAACAATAAAAACAAACTTTAGCTCAAATTTATATGTACTATATTTGTACATATAAAGCCCCCTTCAGCCCCCTCTTCTGTGGAACCAGCTTCCAGTTTGCATTCGGGAGACAGAAACTCTCTTTCCTTTTTGCTAAAGCATATAGTTAGGGCTGGACCAGGTGACCCTGAATCCTCCCTTAGTTATGCTGCAATAGAGTAGGCTGCCGGGGATTCCCATGATGCATTGAGTTTTTCCTTTCCAGTCACCTTTCTCACTCACTATGTGTTAACAGACCTCTCTGCATTGAATCATATCTGTTATTAACCTCTGTCTCTCTTCCACAGCATGTCTTTATCCTGTCTTCCTTCTCTCACCCCAACCGGTCGCAGCAGATGGCCCCGCCCCTCCCTGAGCCTGGTTCTGCCGGAGGTTTCTTCCTGTTAAAAGGGAGTTTTTCCTTCCCACTGTCGCCAAAGTGCTTGCTCATAGGGGGTCATATGATTGTTGGGTTTTAGGGTCTACCTTACAATTTAAAGCACCTTGTGGCGACTGTTGTTGTGATTTGGTGCTGTTTAAATAAAACTGAATTGAATATTTACTCAGTGGGAAAATGAGTTCATTCATAGCACATGTGTCCTTTATCATGCCAGCCGTGTAATCTGAATAGAGACCGGACCATCCCTCATCCTAGTGGCTCTTCTCTGCATGTATTGTTTACCCAAACTTTTTCTTAACCCAAGCTCAATAGCAAATGGCACTCCCCAGTGGCAACAGTCTCCTCCAGCAGTAATGCGCCCTGCCACGCTGCAAGAACAGCTCAGAAAGAAGCACAGCCCTAACCTTACAGCTGTGCAGATCCAAAACTAAATGAGCCCGTGCGTAACCACCACGATCCATCAGAGCTGCACACAGTATAAGGCAGATAGCTTTAATGTTGTGGGGGACGAATGTATAATTGTGCATTAATCTGTCAGCAGTTTGTGACACATTCTGCTTGATCAATGAAAACTTGTGTTGCTTGAGGGAAATCCTGAATGCACAGGATTTATTCCTAGAAAAAACCAATGCAAGTGTGTGCCAATCCCTCCAGTAGTGGTGGAACAAACCAAGTCTCACATCTACATAATCTAAATGTGAAACGTAGAGAATATGTGCTTTATTAAGCACTGGTCATTATTCATGCAGTGCTTCTTTGAGGGTCAAACGTAGCTTCAGGCTATGTGATGTCAGAACTCTGGGACATTATCTGACCCTTGAAATGATCTGTGGTCAGACTTCTAGAGGGAAGTACAGGTCGTGTTTTTAAACTCCGAGTGCATCCTGATGCCTGAGGGGATGTAAACACAACATACCGAGCCTGTTCAGGCATCAACCACACCGCATGGCCTCCTCCTCCTCCTCCCTGTGCTCTTCTGTCTCACTTTCATAATGTTCACTGTCTTCCTACCTTGAGATCAATCCCAAAAAAAAAGCTAAAATGCCAGAGGCCCACCCAAGAGCAGATTGGCTATAGTTTTAGAATGTGTAGTTTCTGCTTGAAAAATCAAACCACCCAGAGCATATCAGCCATAAACTGTGCACTAGTAATGACAGAAAACACAGGCTGGGAGATTCATTGATAAAAAACCATGAAATAAACACAGCAAACGCAGCAATAAAAGCAAGACAATGCCACAGCCTGAGACATTCACACACACACGAGCCCTGCAAAAGCATTTAGAGGCTGGGCTCCATCATGGAGTGCATTCAAGCAAGACGAGTCAGCTGCACAATGTGAAACGCCACTTGGGTTTTTTTTCATGTTCCTGATTGAAGAGAGACTGCCTCGATGCTAGAAGATATTTGTTTTCAGAGTTACACCCCATCCCCTGCCTCCCTCCGTACATCTTCTGTCATGTCGGTGCCACTTTATAGTGCGGTTTTTGCATCGTAAGCTTTACTCTTTTTAAAGAAATCATTTACTACTTGCTGGATGCAAACAGGAAACATTTTCCAGGCTGTCGGTAAAGTTTTACTTCCAGAAAACTCTGCCATTTCAATCTAAAAGGTTAAATTGATGGTAAGGTTTTAAAAGAATTAGCAAATAAAAAAGGCCATTTCAAAAAAAAAAATCTTTTAAATTGCCTTTTTTAAGCAAGTTACTAAGATTACAACTTAAGGTTGGAAGGGGCATCTCTTTGGACTGTGACAGGAAACCAGCATGCCTGGAGGAAAATAGTTATTCAATAATTATTCTTTATTGGAAAAGTAAATGAGTTAAATGTACACTAAGAGCAAAAGAAGGAGAAATGGTAGAGCTGCCTCCTCAAAGTTGGGAGCATTAGTCTTAAAATCCAGATCTGAACTCCCAAAACTCCTTTTAAAGTTCAGAATTTGCCCACTCACAGGAATTTAGTAATGACAATGTGTGTGTTTGTGTGTGATGGTTGCAGATGCCAAGTTAATGTAATTACCCAAAACAATGTGTAGCTATGCCCAGGTCTCAGTGTAACAGTAATCTAAATGTTATGTACATTGCCGATGCAGTGTAACAGCAGTATCCCCCTTCTGCTTTCCCTCCCGGCGCTTTAGTTAACAGTATAACGGTTACTGAGCTAATAAGCCCAACTAGAGTAAAACTACAACAGCAGTTTAGAGACCCTTAAAGTCGCATTCAAAGTCTTTGGAAAAAAAACTGCAATTAACATGCTAAAGTACTTGAAATGGGTAAGATGAAAGGGGTCACTTATTATTATTATTCTGCTGCCAATATTCTGGTGTAAACCTATAACTTTATGTTAGACTTTCGTGGATGCAAAGCTGGATTGAAACACACACACACATTCTCGTTTTGCTATCTTAGTGAGGACATTGAATTGACATATTACTTTCCCAAGCAACTTACCCTAACCATCAAAAATGAATGCCTAACCCTAACCTTTAGCCTAAACCTAACCCTGACACTAAAACCACATTTTGAGTCGCAGTAATGCCTTCAAACTTGTGAGCACAGGCACTTTTGTCCTAATAAGTAATTGTTGGTCCCCACAAGTATAGGAACATTCCAATTTTTTGATCCCACCAAGACGTCTAAACAGGTACACACACACACACACACACACGTTCTGAATGCAGATAAAAGTGCAGATACAGTAAAACTATGCTGACTTGACAGTATTTGTGCTTGAGGGGTTGTTATCAGGATGCCAAAGATGATTGTTACAACTTTAGCTCCAAAAATATATATATATATTTTTTTTTACAAAAGACCATCCAGCTCTGTGTGATGTGATTGTTGTGTTCCATTTCTTTCACGTCAGATTCTAATTGTAGCTGAGAAAGATTTGAAAGCATCCGTGAGTTTGGTTCATTGCGATAAAGGTAAATTAAATTTCAAATTTACTATTTGGATGATGAGCCACGGTTTTCTTTTTCTTTTTTAACTGAATTTTTTTGCCTGGTGATGAGGACACGTCTCTTATACTTAGTGACTAACATTTTCCAGTTTTTTCAAAGTGCTCAATTTGGATAAATTATGGGTTTTTTTTCTTTCCAGTCAGAAAAACCCATAAATAACTTTTCATAAATAAAATTTCCCAGAGGAAAAAAAAAGCAGCAACCCTGCAGTTCAGATATATTTTATCAATATGGATACTGGAACACACCAAAGAACCAGTCTTTAGCAACTGATTTAGCAATGAATTAAGACAATAGCAACTGCCAGCAAACACTCACCAACCAGTCAGAGAATACACTTTTGTCCCTAGCGACTGGTGGGCACCAGCTGGTTGCCAGGCGATCTCTGGCCTATGTGAACAACATCGTCTTGGATGACATGACATCAGTATGTCAGTGTGACATGTTTACACCAGTAGTGTCGAAAGTAATTATTAACAGTAAATTTGTTACAAATTTACAAAAGATTCCGTTTCATCTTAAATGGTCATAAATCACATCTACAGTTTTAGAAATATCTAAACAATCAGTGTCAGCGTGGCCCTTTGTTGAATATGCATTACAATGGAATAAAATGACTTATTTTACCAAGCAATCAATCTAACGTTCTAACAATCCAACAAAGAAGAGCCCTGGTTTGCTGCTGCCAAGTGAGTTTGCTTTGATTCTAAATGTCATACAGCCTGTAGGAGGTTTTACTCAGCCCGTACCAGCAAGCCTTCCAAAGTGAGACAACTATGTTATGAGGTTTGGTTGTACATTTGAATAAGCGGGCTTGCTAGAATACCAGAGGATTTAATGTAGGCCCTTTACCCAATACTTCAATTCCTGAGTCAAAGCAAACATAAAGGTCATTGAGGCGTTTTAGAGAACTCAGAGTATAAACAATCCATCTTCAGAGAGACTGAGGAAATCTTTTCGTGTCTCTATCCCAGCCTTTAACGGGATCCCTCTTAAAATGCAGAAAGCAGCCAAAATCAGTTTTTAATGCCATTTACACCTTGTTATTTATTTATTTATTTTTTGATAGCTGGTTTTGTTTGCAAGCGTAGCATTCAGCATTTTTGTTTACCAATGCAAAAAAGCTGCACATGCCTGCTGCGGCGAGAGGTGAATAAAAGTGAGACTGAAACCTAGAAAATAACCTGAAACCCCTGTCAAACAGCAGCATGGCACCATCACGCTACTTTTGGACCTTATTTGGTATTGTGTGTAAATGCATCTCTCAAGGGCTCAAGGGCCAGCTTACTGAGGTCTTGCCGACTCATTAGAGCCAGCAGGATCCGATCAAACTG